CATTAGGAAAAAGCAGAAATCCACCTGTATTTTGCTGACCATTGGTTCCTCAGCCAAGGAAGTCTCTAGCAGCCATTCAGCTCACCAGAGTTACACCACTTTAATTCAGTCATTACTTATTGACCCTCATAGAGTAAGTTACACATTTTTAAGATTATTATTGATAGTATTCTAGAAATATTTTGCAAGGATCATCTCAAGTACATCTTCAGCAAGTGACTGAGAAGCAAGGGTCATCCTGAATATCAAGATCTGGACCCTAAGGTCTATAAAAGGGATTTCTGGGACATTTCCTAGACACAATTGCTAAGAAAACTGATGGAGCAGGTGACAAGACTGGAAATGCTCAAGGGGCTGCCAAGCAGCTTGGCTGCTTGTCAGCCTACTTCAAAGATTCACTTCAGAACAGAGAGTTGGTTTAGAGCACGTACTTGATCAAGAGCTGGGGAAGTCAGATGACCCAGAGACAGACTCACATCTTAACTCAGGCTGGGAGGGAAAGAGCTGATAACTTGGGTTATTTCAGAGAAAAGACAGATTATAAAAAAGACCAGTGCCACAGCAAAACAAACTCAAGCACTTCAGTTGCATATTTATATTCAAGACACATGGTTCAAAAGCTAAATGAGATGGATATGAGTGCACATCAACACTCTACCATGGAATAAGGATATATCTTGCACTGCAAATATCTGATCATCTTAAAACTGCCTTTCTTGCTTAATTAAAGACCTTATTCTAACTTCTGCATCAGCTGAGCTTTAAAGGAGCATGTCAGGACTGACTACCAAAGTTCCTGCTCGCTCCTCTACATTCAGCCTCATTGTAGTTACCACATACACCACACTAGCCAAGAGTGAAACCTGGGATCATCAAGACCAGGTAGGGATCTCTGTAGAAGGGGACAACTGGCAACCAACACTGATCAAGATGTGGGCAACTAATTGGCTTGTAGCTCTAAGACCAGCCCCACTTACTCGTTATCAGCTCCTTTTTCCACTAATTCAGTCTTCACAGTCCAGGGAGGCATTTCCTCTTGGAGCACTTGAATGGAGACTCTCCACAGGGTATTTATTAGGCTGGTGCATGAAAAACAGATAAAACACTCCAACATCTTCTTGTGTTTCAAAGTAAAGTGCCGGGAACAAAGCCAGGTTTCTACATATGAGAAATCTGAGCTATAAAAATCACTTTTCTTTGCTATATAGATGCAGAGTCCCTCAGCGAGCCTGACCGGATCCGCCTATGGAAGCACACCTGTGTTTACAAAGGTAAAGAGCACAGGTTGTCTGAACAACATAGCTTGTTCTGCAACTACTAGCATTAGATTTTGAGTTTTCTTGCTCCAATTGAAGGTATTTGAAGGCTGGAACATTGGTTCATTTACAGTTCAAAAAAGCCAGCATGTTTCATTAGTGATGCTACCAAACTAACATCTTAACTGGTAAATGATCATGAATTCATCTCATTTATTTCCTACAAAGAAGGCTGAAGTGGAAACCTCTCATAATAACCTCCGTCATCATGTTGTATCCACTGGAATAGAAGTTTTTCCTGCATTTATAGCTTCATTTAAATGCATAAGCACTGGTCTACTGGTGGAAAAACCTCCACTCACAGCCCACTGCAAATGCATTTAGAATTAAATTAGCTATTGCAAGTAAAATAAAAATATGGCACGAGATCACCTTCTTCACTGAAAGGTGTATCGTTCTCTAGTAATTGATTCAATGGGGAAGTACTTATGTCAGCCATTTAACATCAATTTCTCCTCCTCCAGGGTCTACAAAACATAAGAGCTACGAAGGGTCAATTAGTGGTATTTGAATGTCGCATTCGCGCTACACCCACTTTACAGGTTCACTGGTACAGAGAATATGATCCGATAATAGATTCTGCTGATTTCCGAATACTACGAAAAAGTAGGTATTACTACATCTGTTGATTTTATTGGGACAATGATAAGACAGGAACAAGAACTGCTATAAAAATTGGGAGATTTCACATGTTCATAGAGGCAAAGTTAATCTTACAAGTATCAAACGACCTGAAGTGCCAGCCTGCTGTCCAGAGCCTGTGCTTCCTCTGGCAACACCTGAGCAGGTTGGGCACAATGGAAGATCGCCATGCTGTTAGTTATCAAAGCACCACTGAGCCACGGAGGCATTGTCACTGTATATTATAACTACTGATGAATGCAGAGAAAATAAATTAAAATATAAGCACATTTTGAACAATTTATGATACTCCCAGGCATGAGGTCATAGCTGCAGTGGGCCAAATTCACAGCAACTAACTCCAAAGCCAGCGGAGCATTTTCGATATCACCTCAGTGGAGAGGTGTTTGTACCATCAGATTCCCCAGCCAAACCTGAGCTTCCCCTATCCAGATGGTATTTCTCTTGATGGACAGAAAGGAAGATGGTCCCTTTATAACCGGGGTGACAGCTGATGTGGGAAAGGGAGTGAGGGCTGAAGTTCTTTCTTTCATTCTGGCATTATAACCATTTAATTCTTTTCTCTCTTATTTTGAGCAGAGGCTTGTTCATCAGCAGTTCCTGGTAAGTACACTGCACATTTTTTGTTAGACATCTCATTGGTTAATTACCCCACACTTAGTTTTTCCCACCTTATCCAAGACAAAACAATAAGGTTCAAAGGGTAGCCAGAAGGTAGCATTCAGTGTCAGGTTAAGAGTTTTCAAGTTTTTAGTTTTGACATAAGCACCTGAAAGGCCCCAATTTTTTTCACAACACAATAAAAAAGGTATCATCTCTTTTACATTCAGTCAATGAAGAGTAGACTATATGTTAAAGGAAATTGTATTAACCATTTTAACCTATAAGCTTTTCTGGGGTTTAAACTTGTGCAAGAGAAGACAGAATTAGGCAAAAAAAAATGTGCCTTGTTTCATTAAAGTCACATAAAGAAAGATTCTTCCTTCAACTTTGCTCTTTCTCAATCCCTTGACTTCCTATGCCCTTTAACATTCCTTTTTTGCGCTTTATTGCTGCCAAGCCCTGTCACTAAACAGTGCTTCTGCAAGGACCAATTCCTACAAGCTAACATTTGGCTCTTATGGTACAACAGCATGCCTGAACTTGTTATTTCAGAGGAAGTCTGCACCCTGGTTATTACAGAAGCTTTTCCAGAAGACTCTGGAATATTTAAATGTGTTGCTGAAAATGAATTTGGATCTGCGGCATCTAGTGCACGTCTCTCTGTTTCCCCAGGTAAGCACAAGAATATCCAAGCTAAGCAAGTAGGCGCTAGAGAATGTGCTGCTGCTTGATATCAGGCAGTCACAGATATTTGCCAAGCAGAAACCAGATCTTTTGGGGTTTAAAGCCGGCTGGCAGCCAAACACCATGCAGTTGCTTGCTCACTCTCCCCCACCCAGAGGATAGGGGAGAGAATTGGAGGGGTAAAGACAGACTCATAGGTTGAGATAAAAACAGTTTAATAATTGAAATAGAATAAAGCAATAACAATAATAGAAAGTACAAGCCGGCAATGCACAGTGCGATTGCTCACCACCCGCCGACTGATACCCAGCCCGTTCCCAGCCAGCGATCCTGAAACACCAAGATCCTGCAGTCGCAATCCTGGAAGTGAGAGAGAACCCCCCGGGTCCCAGCCATGCCTCCTGTATATACTGAGCATGACGTTACATGATCTGGAATATTTCACTGGCCAATTTGGGTCCGGTGCTCTGACCATGCCCCCCACCCCAGCCTCTTGTACACCTGAGCACAGGAAGGACATGGGGAGTTGGAGAGTCCTTGGTGCCTTAGCAACAACTGAAAACATCAGGGTATTATCAGCATTCTTCTTACTGAATCCAAAACACAGCACTATTCTAGCTACTAAGAAGAAAAATTAATTCTATCCCAGCCAAAACCAGTACAAGACCCAAACACTCAAGAGAAAAGTAATTCCCCAAAAATGCAGGCTGCTTGGGTACCTCTCAACACTGGATGCAAGTTGTTCTGCATTTCTGGTTTTGGTCCCTCTTCCTCCTGGGTCAAGGATGACAAGTTGGACATGATGTTCCCTCTCACAGCAGGGTCTCATCCCTGAGACTCATCCCTTCAGGGATCCCAGCTTAGCTCAACACATTGGCTGTATCTATACCTTGTTTATTGTAATACATGACTTGTCCAGCTCATGCTGAAAGCCATCTCCAGACAGAACAGAGTCTTGCATGTAAACCAAAGCTGCTAATGCAGCTGTAGATTTTGGTCTACGCAGACCCCAGGCAGGTTGAACTCTCATCCACCTGCACAAACATACCAGCTTCCCTTCCCTTGTTACTGCAGTGTGCTGCACTGGTGAACCACCAGTGCTTTCCACCTGACTTGTGGACAATTCTACTTCCAGGAGCAAAAGAGCTGGAAAGCTTTGCGGGTGCTTCCCACAGGCCAGCTGTGCAAGTCACCATGAAGAAACCCACCTTCCCTAGGAACAGCCAAACAGGAGCCAAGGACCGAGATGCAGTTGGCCTGCCATCCTACAGCACAGACATCCCAGGGCTGGGCGGTCGAGCAGAAGCCACAAACTTCAGCCAGATGAACTCCAAGAGTGACGCTGAAGATTTTCATGGACCTTATGAGAATTCACCTCAGGCTTTACCTCTGCGGTAAGACAAAGAGAAAATCACATCCCTGGGTTAGTTTTATACAATACTTAGAGAATCAACTTTCTAGTCACCCCAGCAACAAAACTGCAAAGCTCCTGTGCCCCATACCCTAACAGGGAAACATGCACATGCAGTAACCTGAGCTGTTTGCCTACATGACAATAGGAATGTGTAACACTAGCCTAGCTATAAAACAGCACAGACTCAATTTGACAAAGCACGTAACTATCTAAAGGCTCAGGTAAGTGCCTAACGGCATTTTCAGAAGTGCTTATCTGTAACTTTAAAGCATCACCCCAAATAATCAGCACCTAGAAGACCTTTGGTCCCACAGCACAGCATGAGGCAAAGATCACAGTACCTGGGAAATGTCAAGGTACCTTTCTGTTGCCACCATCTTCCTCTGTAGCCTTGGACAAGTGGCATCACCTCATGATTCTGTTTCCTGTTCTGAAAGACAGCAATAAAACTCAAGAACCTGTAAGTGTGGTGCAGATAGTACCTGCAAACCACTCTGTGGAGGAAAAGTACTGAATCAGTGACCCACTGGGTAGAATGAAAACTGTCCCATGCCACAGCAGGGACACTCCCTGCTCAGGAGATGGAGATTTTCTCCCAAGAATAAAGTGTTCCATCTTACAACAAGACTCAATTCAATTTCTGTTCCAAATATAGTTCTCAAGTATCTACGTACTTATTGCATTATTAATTATCCTGTTTAATTGTTCCAGAGAAACAAAACAAGTTAGAATGCACATCTTAACAATTCCATTTCAGATTTTTGTAGATTCTCAGGTGTTTATAGGCATAACAAAGACCTAAAATAGTGACAGTTAAGAGGTCCCAACCCAGCACTCCAGAGGAGTTTCCTCGGTCCTGTTTGGGAAGGCAAGCACTAGGAAGCAGACGTGTGCCTCCTCTCTCGGCTGAATGTCAGAGCTGCGCTGCAGCAATACCGTTACATCGTGTATAAATGGCTGTCGCTGACTAAAAGCATTCCCTGTTTTATAGATTATTTTTGTATGTACTCAGCCTCTTTAACTAAACCAGTTATTTTAACAATTCCGAATACCCTCCTCCAAATTCACTACAGGAGAGATCATATTTCAGTATAGATTTCTCCATGCACAGGATTTTTTTTGCTAAATCAGTGAGTAAAAAACGGGTTTGCTTCAATGACCTGAATTTCGCCAAGAGGAGGCTCTCAGTTTAGCTTCAAGTCCTCCCATGAAATCCAGGCTTGCTCCAGGGAAATCAGCTAGAACCCTAAGCAGACTCCACTTGCAGAATCAAAACCCTGGCTGAAGCTAACTCGTATGGACCTTAGGAGGCTGCAGCCCTGCAAAGCTGCGGAGGGTTTGCTCGCAGCCCGCCACGCAGCTGTGCGTGCGCTGCTGTTGCCTTCAAGCATCCCAAGCCAAGAATGTGAATGCAGCGCCGTATTCAACTCACACTCAACTACGCCAGGTCCAAACACCTAGAGAGAAGGCTGTTGGCTTGGGAGTAGCTAACACAGACCAACATTGCAGTGGTTGCAATCTTTACCTGATGATTGTTTTAAACACGGGCAGACTGTTGTCTGCTGAGCAAAAACGAAAGCTTTTTATAAAATCTCTGCCATAATTACCTCTTGGAAGGAGTAGGGGCAGTAGGAGACATTTGCTGTCCTTTTCGAACAGGACTAGTTTTCTAACCTCTCTCTGGATTTCTCAAAGGCAGCAGGAAGCCTGTATTTTGGCATTTCTAACAAGCAACCTGTGGGGAAGCTCTTTTAGATGATACTTGCTGCTTAGGATGACTACTTGTAAAGTTTATTACTTGCAGCAGTACCAGTGAGCTATGGTTGCATTTTTATTTCTACAGTTCTGGTTAGTTTGAAATGCAGTACCTGATGTCCTGCATGAAGGGATATAATATACCACCACCATCAGCTATGTAAGAGCTTTTAAAAGCTTGGGTTATATAAAACACAAACTAGTGCAGAGAGCTGCAGAGTGCTTTTGATTGACAGCAATGCTGAACCAGATTTACACATTTCAAGATACAGAGAGAAAATTATTAACATTTCTAGATATACCCATTTGTAAACATTTTACTACCATGTGCCTTCAAACACCATTATGAATGGGACTCAGCATTGTAAACGTTGTTACCTCAAACGAAGCAATCATCTCGAATGACTAACTGTACAATAACTGTGCTGTTAGACAGAGTTAGCCATACAACTCTCTCATGTAGTGTATGTGGTTGCAACTGTATTACCAGAGACAAAAAGAAACACTGACAAAGACAGTAATGACAGAACAAAGCTATTACTAGGAATAATTATAAAATGAATGAAGTCCTTGTACTCATACTTCTCCAAATTATTGCTTAGCAACAGCCACTCTACAAAAGCTAGAAAATGCAATTCCAAAAGACTGTCGCTACCAGCTACTCCTTTCTGAGCCCTTTATATCTGCAGCTTATAGCGTCCTTCTCAACAGCCTTAAAGAAGCAGAACAGTATCTATGTTGATTATTAACTTTATTAAAGGAACTTAATTCAAGTAAAAGAAAAGGCTTCAGGCACTAAGTATACTGCCATGTCTTTTAGGTAGCTTTTAAGATTCCTTAATAAATAAGCAAAAGATTCTTAACTTTTTCTCTGGGCATTTTTTGCTATATGACTCAAGCAACTAGAACCCCATCAGACACAACAGATCACCATTCATAGTAAGTAAACTGAAGCACTACAGAAAAGCTGGTTTCTAACACCTTCACAGTGCTGGTCAGAGTACTATTAAGTTACCCTAGCACAGGCTGAGAGCTTTATCCCTCTGCCTTTATCAGTTCAGTTTCTAGTTCTTTCAATTTTTTTTCCTACCTTCTGGACCTCATGTTTTTCTGTTCCTTCTCTTTCACACAAGTCATCCCAGTCGTGTCCAGCCTTTCAAGTGCATAAAGCTATCCTTAAATTGATGCCTTGCAGCCAACTTTAGTTCTGAAATAAGCACACTGCACCCTCATTGAAGTGGATGGGAAGCCAGGGAGCCTGTCTGAGCACGGAGCCTGACCTTTAACATGCTCACAGCTTCCTACAGGGCAAATGCTCACGCTACAGCTACCTTTTTTTTAAGTACTCAACTCTCTCTGTGTAAACTACAGATTTTTCTATTTTATTTTCTTTTACTTAAAAAGCAAACAACTTCTCCAACAACTAGAGACACACTTCCTCCCTTAATCACTTTCATCACGAGGAATTTAAATAAATTAGCACTCAATTAACACCTGCTATGTAGAATTTCGTTCACAAAGGGTGGGCTGATGTTTGAATACAAACACTAAATGTGGATTAACTCCTGAAGATTACTGTGCTGAAAGACTCCCCGTACAGTGAAAGGAGAGAAGAGGCAACTGAAAGACCACACGCAGCCGAGCTGCAGTAATTACGGGGTTAGGGGTTTTTTTAAACAATAGCTTGCATGTTAGGCCAGAGTTGCCAAAGTATAATTAAGATACTTAGAACACTGTAATGTTAATTTAAGATGTAATTAAGCATTGAAGCCTTTGATTAAAGGGATACAAATCACCTAATCTGCCAGCAGGATGTTGCTGTTCTAGTGAAAACACCATAGTTGCATCTTTTAATCCAAGTAAATATCTGTAAATAATACACTTTTAAAAATCACATTTACATCTGGTTTACAAGTACCTGTTGCCTTTAAGTACACAGCCTTAAAAGCGCTAACAGAGCGCTATTACTACAGCGGCAATAAACTACAGCCAAATCGTACGTGAATTTTAAAAGGAACTTTTTAAAAGTGGCGTTTAGGGACGTTTAGGCATATCAGCCGTCCCTCCTCGCCGCTCCCTGACGGCTGCTATGGGCAACCCCCCCGCTTTGCTGTTCAATAGCGGCCGGGATCTCCGCTCCTTCCCCTTCTCCCGCCGAGCAGAGGGACATCCCCGGGCGGTAGCGCTGAGCCTCGCCGAGGGATGGGGGGGCGAACCGGCCCCAGCAGCCGCCTGCCCCCCGCCCCCCGCCCGGGAGCCGGAGGGGGGGGGGGCTCCGGCCGCCCCCCAACCTCCCGGCGGGGGCAGCTCCCCCCGGGGCCGGGCGGGCAGGCTTTTCCGCTGCCCACCCGGGTGATTTGCTGAGCAGGGGCACCTGCCCAAAACCCGAGCCCCGGCCTTTAAATGAAATGTCCCCGGGGCTGGCGGAGACTCTTATTCTGACAGCGGTGCGGGCAGGGGACAGGCAGGGCCCGCCGTGTCATCTGCTGGCACCACATTAAAGCCTCGGGTCTTATAACGCTACGCGGAGGGTACTATGCCAGTCCGGGTCAGTGAATGACGGTCCCTTCCCAAAATACCGGTTAGAGCCCAGGTGACAACTCCCAGGCTGTAGGTAAGGTGCTGGGGTTGGGGTTTGGTCCGCGTCGCTTTTTACTTCGGAGCTGGAGTGAGAAATTCTGGGTGACACGGTGGTGGCAATGTGCCCTTGAGGTGCGGTGGTGTCAGAGGTAACAGGGGAGGCAACAAGGGAAAGAAAAAAAAAAAGTAATTTTTTTTTTTTTTTTTAGAAAGCAAAATGTCTCTATTATTACTTCTTGTTTTCCTCTTGTAAACTCAAAAGTCTCTTTAGATTATTTTTTTTTTCTCCCACCCAAATCAAGGTGGAATGATTCGAGGAAATTGTAACTTGTGACAAGCGCATTGTATCTTGTTTAAGTGCAGTATTCTAGAAAACAAAGTAAATGCTGGTTTCTGTACACAGCCTGTAGGGAAAATGAATGAATCTGTACACAGACAGTGATATAAAAATGGTATAAAAACAAGATTCAACAAGTTTTCTGCACCAGTGAATGAGAACATAGTGTGGACATGCTCCAAAAATGAGCCAGCTTCAAATTCCAAGAGCATGACAAGGGGAAACTTAGGGAATTTTTACTAGAAAACCTCTGTTTACATGCAGTTAATTTACAACTAATATTGATAATTACCTCTAGGGAAGGAAAGCTTTGAATCTTTAAAATGAGAGCAATGTCTTCAGTTGATCTCTCCTCACCGGAATTTATGAGGAATACAATACACTGTGTATATATAGCAGTGAAACAGCTGATCTCGGTGGAGCAAGATTACAATTTTTTCCAGCTCATGTAACCATGTGGATTTATATTCTAATTTTTTATTAGTAGCTTTACGTTTATTTGGGGGGGTTATTTATTTATCCTGGAGCTGAAATTGTTTGTCAGTTTTAACAAACTTGTTCAGTTCATTCTAATTAAAGTTTCCCAGGTTTTGAGTTGATGGAAATCCCATGTTTAGATATCAAGGACCTGCAAAAATAAATGCAGGACCTCTGAGTGTCTTGACTTGCCCTACTTTATCCTGCAGCTATGTCATTCTGGCAGCTATTAGCCCTAACAACAAATCTCAGGAAATCACTTCAAATGGAGAAGCAGTCCTTTGCATTCCAATTCCAAATTTCAACTGGATATAAAAAGCTCTGAACTCAAAAACCATTAAAGAAGAAATCGGGATACTTGGTTTCTTTAGGTTTAGGCTTAAAGGAAAGTGGAACCTGTTTCATGCTTCCCTATGGTGTAAGGGATTTCTCAGTATGAACAGCCAATTCTCCAAGTAATAGTACATTTAATATTTTGACAGGGGACAAAACTGCAGGTTCCAGTTTAGATGATACGTGTCAAATTACCTTGCTTAGCAGTAGCATCTACAATTATCTGTAGACCTATGCAGGTAGTGGGTTGTCTCAATAAACCAACTGCTATTTCTTTTATAATTTACTGTGCTCTTCCATGTAAGATGGCTGTGGTGAACGCTGCACCAGAGACAGAGTGCGTGACTAGTTATTGTAATCCGAAATGTTCATACAGTTCTGCAATAGTTCTAATCAATCCTAAATCTCTTTATTTTAAGCTCAAGCTCTGTCAGTTGCCTGAACTTCATATTTGTTGGGTTGCTAATGACTGCTCACGACACCATATTTTTGTGATTCAAATGGTGATGTACAATTTATTTTATCTGTATTGTCTTCCTTAAGGGAAAATCCACACCAAGAAAGCCTCTATTCTGCAAGGCAAGGGTTCCATTCTATCCAGGAGCCCAGCCAAGAAAGTTTTTGTGGCCTACCACCTAGTTTTTACCAGCCACCTATCCAAAGCCAAATATCACCAACAAAAACCCCGGACAGCTGTGAAACCTCTCCTATGAGTGTCCCTAATTTCCCATCAGTTTCCTCTATGTGTCAACCAACCATGTTTAACTACGAACGTCCAAAACACTTTATCCAGTCTAAGAATGTGTGTCAAGGGCAACAGCAGCCTCCGGGACCAGCAGCCTCTACAGAGTCGAGCAGACAAATCAAACAGTCCTCCATCCTAATACAGCCTCGTAACCCAAGTGGGCAGAAATTCTCCTCCTCGTCATCGCTGAGCTCTTCAATCACCCTCTCCTCGCCTTCCTGTAGTGCCCCTAAGGAATCCACATATCCCGTCACACCTGCATCTGCGCAATCTCCTGCTAGCTCATCATCTGGGCAACGGCTTATATCCATGCCTAACCAACCCCCCGCAGCATTCCTGTGCTCAGTGCTACCCTCGCAGCCCGACTATAACAACCAAACTCCTTCTCCTATGGAACCTCAGTAAGTATATACAGGCTTCTAACCTCCCCTTGCTTTCTTTGGCCTGGCCTCTCCCGTGCACTGACCATCCCAAACCCAACCATCCGGTGAAACACCAGCTTGGTGAAGCCAATGGTACAACTCCCATTGACTTCTGATGTTCGAGGCAGGACTCTGCATGAATCGGGTTAAGAGGCTGAGCGCTTGCCCTCAGTGTCCATGTGGGAGAGACAGATATCCTCCAGGAATTAAACTGCACAGTAGTCAAGTCCCGGGCTGCTGTGAAGGTTTTTTGGAGTCAGTTTGAACAGTTTAGTTTGATTTGATGGAAATCTGTTATTTAAGGGTATTCAGAACAGAAGATGGACACCCAATCTCAAATAAATTTCTCTCAGCAAACATGGCTTATTAACAGGGAGGCAGGGAGGAAGGCAGCAGTATTTCCCACATATAAGCAATTTCAAGATTCCTAGTAAATCTCAGAAGTATTTTCAGGTTCAACATCATGATGGGGATGGGTCTCTATACTTACCTACAAAATAGTTTTAATTAATCATACATGTTAATAGAAAGGCAGCCACTTTAAAATTTTACCCCTTCAGACCAAAGACGAAATTCTTTCCTGAATATGTATTATATCATTTTGCTTTTGGGCTGCAGTCCAAGTATCTCTCAAGGTCAGTGTGATCTCAAAAGGAGCTGGGTCTTGCCTTCTCGCCGACTTGTATTCCTGCCAATATTAGCTGGAGGTCCTGGGGAAAATCAGTGTCAAATATGCAACAAACACCCAACTGAGGATATTAGAAAGGTGATAGGGGCAGGGGGGGTCCTGCTGGCTTGGATATAAATTCAGGTTTAAGCATCAGTTTGTATTCAGGAAATCTGAAAGTTTCTGGGTTTTTTCTGAATCACAGCACTGTGGGAAATGGAAAGGTAAGACAGAGTGGGCTAGCTGGGGCACTCAGGCTTGTTTCTTAAAAGTACTGCAGGAGCGTGTGTATGCATCTGGAGTAACCGCTGGGTTTTGTGTACGTAGTGTGGGTTTGTTTATTTTCATAGCAAAGGCCTTTGGTGCTTCGCTATGTTTTTCATATACACTGCTCTTAAATGCAACATGCTGTGAGTTGAGGAATTGCTTTCCTAATCTTGCTACAGATGGGCAAACAGGGTCATGAGACATATTAATCTGTCGGGCAAATTATTAAAGCTTTTAACTTATAACTTGGGAAGTTATTAAACCCAAGCAGTGATGAGAATATGTATCAGAATTATGACCCTCCTACCCTATTCTAATCAGCAGAACAAATTACCAAGTGAGAGGAGGAAAAGGATTTTGAATAGCAAAAATTGCTGAGCACAACTGCACCATTCAAGGCCCCACTGCATGTGAGGAACTGGGTTAGATCCTGTGAGCACAGAGTGCTGTGACCTCTAGTAGACCTTCGCAACCCATTTTGAGGGATGCTCCTCTTTTCCTAGCACTTTTCAGAATCAGGTGTACTATCTAACTCCGAGACTTGATTGTGTCTCTTGACTACGGATTACAGGATCAGGCTATGTGGGGGGTTGCAGCAAGAGTTCCTAAAGACCCAGCCTAGCTTGGGGTAAGCTTGGCTATTGAACTTCTGGACAGAAATGCTAAATGAAGTAATTTTCTGGGGTCAAGAAAAAGAGGACAACTAATAAGCTATTTGTTCATACTTAATCAACTAGGTTGTGTCCTTGCTGTGGATTTGCAGCACCCAGAGCCTTTTTAACAATTGAAATTGTAAAGGACTGCAGTTTTTGAGGGACAACTTGCTCCTGGACAGACTTGCATTGCTCAATAGAGTTAGTGGCTTCCTCAAAACCCTGCTAGCCTCACTGCACACATCCGAGTCAGGGCAGGGGCTGCTGCAGGATGTAGGGATGCTGAACAGCCACCCACAGCAAACTGCTGCGAGTCTTGTGGGAGGACTCGCAATGATTTGGTTAGACCATAATGCTTCCCCTTAAGTTTTTGATACTCAAGTATGCCACGTATACTATCTATCTTCCAAATGTTTTATGAGTTCATTTGAATGGCAGTTTCTAGGTAGCAGGTTCATATTTTTGTGTGTATTCTATGAAGCTGTAGCAAACAGTCAAGCAGGCCTACAGGAATAACTTTGTTTTCTCTTCCTGCATGAGTAGTTACTCACAACCAATGTATAACAAACAAGCTAGCATCAACTCTATGCAGAAGACATCAGACCAAGAAATTCGAGGAACAAAAGAGGCCCTCATTCAGGACTTGGAAAAGAAACTCCGATGCAAAGACAACCTTCTCCAGAATGGCAACCAGGTAAGGGAAACCTGCTAATTAATGAACCAGTTTGATCCAGGCTCTTAGTTCAAGCAGGGATGCAGAGACTAGTTCTAGTGCCCCAGAGGCTGGAGCCTCCAAACTGAGCTGAAATCAGAAGGAAGTGCAGGAGCAACACTGCCCAAACATCTTTACTCAGAACCTCAACAAATTCCAGCAAGTTCTTTGAGCCATTTATGACCAGAATATTCTCTCAGTGTGAGGTGGCTGAATTTTTACATAAGAAATGTTAAAAAAAAAAGGAATATTTCTTCCAACAGTGACTCTTTTTAATCATGGTTCAGGGCTGGTGTAAAAGGTGTGGTCCTGAAAGATTTACATCCAACCTCTTCATTTCCCAACACCCTCTTCACAGTTATTTTTGCTATTAGAATGCAAATAGCTGTGCTGGTGGGCCATGTTCAGCTCAGCCCTGGGAAGGCCCTTCTCAGCAGTGGAGCAGCACATGGCTAGTGCATGATGAAAGCTGGCCTGAATGTGTGGCAAGAGAGATGGTTGTTGTATGTCTACATCTGTCTGTAGGCATCTACCGTGGCAACTGAATGCCTGCATCTCATGCAGCAAGATGGCTTTGAGCTGCTATTGCCTTTCCCTCTTACCCTACGTTCTTGGCCAGCACCCACCATTCAAGCTGTCTTTGAATCTGTGCAATCAAATTAATAAGGCTAGGGTAAGGAGAAAGGTATATATTTAGCACCATAGCACAAACTTGAACTCTCTGCAGGGGATCCTGCTGAACATCACATTCCCAGACAACTAGACATGCAAGGAGAATCCCTCAGTTCTCCAGGCAAGATTTCACCCCGGCTCTCAACGCTGGGGTTAATAAAACGCCCCAAAATCATTAGAAACTTGGAGAAGTACCAATATTTGAAATCTCATTCTAGAGACCATCACCACATGTGGTAAACCTCTTTGATTTCTTTTTATATGAACAACAAATAAAAAAAATTACATGAACTTTTATCAGAAAGTCTGTTTCCTATAAGAAGGTCTCAGTCTCATTACCTACTTATTTATTCTGCAAAGGGACAAAATGCAATCCTCTTTACCAAGAAATCAAAATCTAGGAGAAAAAATTGCTTACCAGTAGGGAAGTACATTACAGCAAATTACAGCAAGCAGGTCTCTAATGTGGGAACCTTCCTGCTGGCTGGAGGCAGACTGGTAAAAGCCCAGTGTTTATAGTTTCCATCTTTTTTCCCCTGAAGTAGAAAGGAGTTTTTCCATTACCATCAGTGGGAACAGCTTTGAGTCATATATAGAATTTTAAATATTGAAGAAAAAAAAAATCTATTAGGTCAAATCTGACTTAATATGTCCCTAACAGGAATGTCCTATCTGCTGTAAGAAAGCTTGCCATTGCATGCCAGCTCTTCTTCTCATAGGAAGCAAGGCTAAAAATAAGGCTTATGCAATCGCCGCTCTGTGTCCTCCTCCCCTTGTCCTCCAACAGCGTTTGAACCAACTGGCCAATCTCAGCCACACTTGATACAGCCGTAATGACCTCAGGGATATTAAGCTCTCACAGGTTTTGCAAAAGGTTTCTCTTGCTCTCTTCTAAAGAAAAGTCCCACAAGCTTCCCCAAACCCTTATCTACCCAAGAGTAGCCACACACATGTCCTGTACATAGTCAAAATTCAGCCAGAGATTGTCCTCATGTGACAAAATCCAAACCCAAGGTAAACTTTGTGGGAAGCAAAGTGTCAGGTGTTCTGGTGCTCAGGGAACTAACGTAGTCTTTTAAAGTAATCCAACTGACAGAACTTGAATTTAACTCTGCTCATATTTATCCTATGTGCTGCATCCATATCGTAGGAACTTACTGTTACACGACTGAAACGCCTTCTTGCCTCCTCTCAAGGCAGCACACAGTATTTCATAATGCAGCTGTTGCACTGACATGAACTTCCCTTGTGCTTTCAGGGGTGGTGGTGCTCCTCTCTGTGTCTGCTTCTGGTGTGGCTCTTGCTTTTTTGGGAGTAGGGGACACTAGCATCCATCATGCCTCTAGCTCCCAAAGAAAATCCACAGCTGAATGACTTGGGAAGTTTTCCCAGTGCTAACAGAAAGGTACCCTGGGACTTACTCTGGCTTCTGAGATAATGCCATCAGTTACCCATAAATAATCCCAGCGGAGAAAGAGGAGGAGTGGAAGGCCACAGATGGCATTAGAGAGGCTTTGATGAACAGGCAGTTTAATCTTTATGCATTTCAGCACTGTATATATTGAGGCTGACTTCAGTAGGCATCACAGACTGCAAACCCTCTGGAACAGACATGGTGTTTCTATTCAGCCACTGCTTTCATTGACAATACCCTGAATTTGTGGCATATTAATGTGCTTTTACAAGCTGATCTAAAATAGTAAATGGACTTCTGACTCGAACTCCTCCCTGCTCTGCTTTAAGCGATTAACTTATGAAGAAAGAATGGCTCGCAGGCTGCTTGGACCAGTAAATGCTGCATCTGTGTTGGACACACAGAGTGAAGACAACATGCAGAACGCACAGGTAAATGGGGACCTGTCTCTAGAACAGTGATTTCCGGGTGAATGTGCTGTGATCTGCTTGTATCTGAATAGGGCAGAGAGATGTGACTTATTTGGTCCCAGTGCAGGGGAGGGGATGAGATGGGACAGCTCTCCCTGGCAGAAGTCTGTATAGTAGGGATTTGGGAGCTTTTTGAGGGGTGGTGGTAGAGGGGAGGAATTTAAGCACCATCCCCTTGCTGGGCCTGATCTGTAGGAATGACCTCTTCAGAGAGGAATTACAACAGCTGCTGCACAGCCCGTTACACCCTGCCCGTGACAGGCAAGGAGCAGCACAGCGAGGGATACAGGTACCCGCTCTCCAACAGCCCAAGTTGAGACTTGGCCAGGACAGCAAGATTTACACCTGTCACTGGAATAAGTGACCTTGACTACAAGAAGTCAGGGCTTGGGATGGAATCAGTTGGGTTTCAGCCCTTCCAGGGGCCTGCAATCATTAAGAGAAGGCAAAGCAGTTATTTTAGCAGCCCACATGCTGATAGACAAGAATTTATTACTATTGGCATTTTCAAAAGCATTTTAGTTGTAGACTTGCATGGTTCATTGGTTATTCAGGCTAGTTAAAAGCTTTCTTTGGCACTTCTGCGATCAAAGTTAGTGGAAATGTCTGTGATGTGGCACTGGGTACCTGTGCAGCCAAAGAAAACATCCTTCCTGCTGCATGCACTCAGAGAGCCAGCAGGCTGGCATACACCTTCCCAAGTGCAGTTAGCAAAACTCTTTGATGCAAGAGACACTTAAGATCACAGCAAGGGAGGAATATGCAATTCGAGCTCTTTCTCCCCAACAATCATCTGACAACAACAGACAGAAAGGGAACATTATGGATGTTAGAGAGCAAGGGAAGCCTCATCTTTTGCAGAGAAAGAAAACATTCAGTCAAAACAGGATGACTGACAATTTTTCAGGGTGTGTGAAGTGCTGCATAAAAAGAAGTACTGGAAGGAGAAACTGGCTTATGTTTGGGAGATCTTACTCCCACTTTTCAGTCTTATTGTTAAATATTGTAGTCACGGATTCATTCAGCCTCCTGATTCCTCAAGAACTTAACTACACAGTCAGTTGATATAATAAAGCATTAGAATTATCAGCAACTTCAACACTACAGCATCATTTCACACAACAAGTAATAGTTGTACAGCACTTGTGTAAATGAGCAGATACAAGCAATTCTCTTTGGACTCAACACTGAGCTCAGTCCAGCAAAACCCTCATTCATGTAATACTTCCCCTGAACTGAAGATGACATTTCTGCCTGAAGTTTAAACCCAGGCTTAAATGTTCCACAGGACTGGGCTATAGAGCACAGAACCAAGCATCGTAATGGCTTAGCACAAACCCCCCCAGAAATTTCCATGCAGTGTTTCTTCTATCTGTCTCCGTTGCTAAAATGAGTCACTGGTAATCAACTCTGCTTGCATTTTCAAAGTTCCTAGCAGGAATCAATCCTGGGTACTTTAGCAGATTTACTCATGTGATTATGGAGTTGTCAGTGAGCTTAGTTGGTGCTGTGATCTAGAAAGAAAAATATTTTCCAGCTCAGCATGTGTCCATTGCTATTGGTACCATATTTAAGTGGGCACAATACAGTGTTCTTGCCAGTGATTCCACTTCTATTCCTGCTATAGAGAAGGACACTCTGTACTTAGTTCTCATTTTAGATACTGCCAGTAGTACTACCCTCTAACAAAGGTTATTGGCTGGCCAAAAGCCTTGTGTGCCAAACAAAACTGCTGCACCTATCACCTGTGCAGAGTGATGAGAAGTTGTGCCATTCTATTAATAGTACCTGTTACTGTCATGGCAAAGCCTAGCGTGAAAACAGAGTGTATTAGCTCCTGATGCAAGTTCCTTTACCTCTTATCCCAATGACTTCTGAAGTATTCAGTTTGCTTTTAAGCAGCAGTCAGTATACAAACTTAGACGATTTCTCATTCCGTTTATAGATAAAGCTTTCTCTCCAAGTTAACTCACCTCTCTTCTTTCTCTTTCCAAGCACCAGAATGCGGAAAACGTCAGGCTGCAGGTTCCTACAACACACATAAGGTAATGCATAAACTTGTGCTGTGCTACTCTTCAAGACCTTATTTCAAATGTTTCTAGACCATGTTAGTTTTACGTCACTACTTATCCAAGTAGTAATTACTAAATTCATTAATTTCAAGTAAAATGTTACCATTTGTGGATGGTTGATGATGCCCATGATCTTAATCCAATTCTAAGTGTAACACTAGAAGTTTAAAGATTCCAAGTACGTAGGGAAATATGCTTCGTATTCCAGTCAAAGCAAGGTCCAACAATCTAAATGATGAAACATAGCATGATGAAACACAGCCTACATTGCTCTTGTAAATTCTTTTGGGTATTAGTCCAAAGATGAAGGTTTCATATGTTATGCTTCTCTGTTGAACTGAACAACTTGAGCAGGAGAAGTGGTTGATCAAAACCCATGCCTTACAGCTGAAAAACAAACCAGAGAAACAAATCAATGCTGGATTCCTAAATGTGTTGAGGGACTCTAGCTGCAATTGGTGCTTCAATGTAATTTGTGCTAGGGTAACTTTTACATAATTAACTGTTTCTGTCCACTTTTTTAGGAGCAGACCATCCTCAAGAGGAGATGAACGTGGACATGATTCAATCCAGGAAAAATTTTTTCAGCCACGTTTTACACAAGTGCCTGAAGACATAATTATTGAGGAGGGGCGATTCTGCAGGCTTGATTTCAAAGTAATACCAGCCTTTCTCTTGCAGTTCCTTTAGCTCTGTGAGGTGTGGCATGAAGAGAGGTCTCTGAGCTGCAGTGCCTTTGCACTTTAATAAGCCAGAGCACTAATGGCAGATGGTGCAGGGTCTCTCTAGGCAATGTAAACCAAGAAATAGGTGATGGCTAGATGTTTCAGCATTTTCCCTTGGAAAAATGTAAATGGAATTAGCTGCATAAAAATATGGTTAAAGCTAAATAGTGGTAAACATGGAACATCACCGAACACCTTTTAGACCTCATTGGGAGGAATGAATGTTAAGGCCTTACTGAAAACAGGCATTTTGGCTAGGAACCTTGTCATTTGCACTGGGACTCCACCGAGTTCAGTGGATGCATGCTGGGTGCATGTCCAGCAAGGCCTGTTTAGGACTAGCCTGCCTAGTCTCTGAGGTAGCTGTGCCCTTGCTGCAGCAGAACAACTGGCAAGGAAATGCCCTCATTACAAACAAACAAAATGCCAGAATGGCCTGAAATTGCATGGCAATTGGACCAACCCTAGAGTAAGAAAGAACCTAGATTTTCTGCACATGCAACTTGATTGCTGATTGTGGTTGGGCTGGGTTTTTCCCTAATCACTTCCAATCTCTTTCCTTAAGTAAACTCTTGCCAGAGTTAGGCATGACTTTTAGCCATTTTGCTGCAAATGACTTAACTTCTGAATGTCATGGACAACCTGGAGGATGTCTGCAGGACAGTTTATATACATAAATTATCAAAACAATATGGATGTCAGCACTGCTGACAGTGCTAAATGTGGGATTAAAAGGGTGAGTTTCCCCTTCTATGAACCACAATGAGTATCTTTGGCCTAATCAACACTACTTTACAAAATGGGAATAACGGGATCGCAGGAACAGTATCTACTGCGTGTGGCTAAAGCTCACCTCTCCATGGCACTTCACGAGCCTTCCTCTTTGTGCGGCACCACAATAATATTCAAAACTAGGCAAGACTGTAAAATTTTGCCGTAGGATTGTGATTTGATCATCTATCAGCATCAGACTCCCTATAGCATTGAAGGGCTTTTTCTATCTTAAAGATGTTTAACTCTTCACTGCTTTCTTCTCCTTCACAGGTGAGTGGGCTGCCGACTCCAGATGTTATGTGGTATCAGAATGGAAGGATGGTTCATCAAGATCAGTTCCATAAAATGATAGTGTCAGAAAAGGGATTCCACTCATTTATTTTTGAAGCAGTCAAATCATCTGATGCAGGGACATACGAATGTGTGGCTGTCAACCGTGCAGGAGAATCGTCTTTTGCAGTTAAAGTGGAAGTAATTGGTAAGACTGGGGAGCACTGATAATTCCCTGGCCACACATGAAAAATCTCAGTAATCTAATGCCTTCCTCCATGTGTTTGGGACATAAAACAATTAAGAAGCAAAGGTAGATCTCCAGATATCCAGGCTCAAATGGTAACAAACACCTTACTTTTTCCAAGACTATTTTAATACGTACATCTGGGATGCTGTATTTCTTCAAAGCACTTCTAGTGGGATATTTAGATGTAGTGGGATGTCCAGAATTTGGGAGTTATTAATCTCCCAGGATTTATAGCATATGTTGATTGCCTCTCTTCCTAAAGTAGTTGTGTCTACTACACCCTTATGCTCATGGGAATTGCCTGTAGGCTAAGGAGTTGAAGTAAGGAACATGTGCACTCCTGAATTTAGCATTCTGAAATCTTAAAAAACAAGCCTGATATTAGCATTTAATACTTACAAGTAACTCCTCCTTATCTTTCCTCTTTAATTTAGCAAAAGAACATCACATGCCTCCAACTTTCATCTTCAAGCCACAAAGCAAAAAAGTTTTTGAAGGAGATACAGCCAGACTCGAATGCCAGATCTCTGCTATCCCAACACCTCGGATTTACTGGAAAAGAAACAACGAAATGGTACAATATAATACAGACCGAATAAGGTATCCTACTGATGAGTTGGCCATTGGTGTGTTAGACAACAATAGCCAGTATTTGTTAAGTAAAATTTGAATTGACTGGTTTCTAAAAACATCAAACTGGAAAGCTAGATCTGCCCCTCGGTTATGACACGTGGCCAACAGGCCCGTGTCTGGACAGGAGCAATGCTCAGAGCCTTGTTTTGAGGGCACAGAGAGAAAACTGGGACCAGATGCCACTCTGAATTATAGTACAAGTTACAAGGCCCATGGGGAAGCATGGCTTTAAGATAGAAACATGCAATGCATTCATCATGCTATGGGGCTACAGAAGGGCCTTGATGCCACTTGAATGGTATCATGATGTGAATCACTGGTGGCTCGTAACACAAATGCAGTGTTTATGTCTAAATAGTTCCTGCAAGAATTGTTCTCGGGCTTTCTCAGCTCCTCCGCATGTAAACTGACTCTCTGATTTCAATGTCTTCTCTCCTTCCCCCTCCAAGCACTTACACATAAACACCTTCCTTTTTCAGCTTGCTGCATGACAACACTGGAAGGATTTGCCTCCTGATTCATAATGCAAACAAGAAAGATGCTGGTTGGTATACCGTATCCGCTGTCAATGGAGCTGGTGTGGCCACATGCCATGCCAGGCTGGAGGTTGCAAGTAAGTACCACATCACAGTGCCACAACCACAACTGAAACTGCCACTGGCACTTGTATTCAGAGCAGGCCCTCAAAATTGACCTGATGAAGCTTAGATGGCTGGGAGGATTTCTTTCCAGAGATACTGAACGAGACAAAAAGTAACTATCCTGGGAAAAACTCTTTTGTTTAGTAACAGGACACTGTGACGTGTCTTTTGTACATTGTCTACATCTGCTATCTGCACTGTGTAAAGATTACAATTTGATTGATACCAAGAAGGGGGGTGAATATAAATCTCTGGTGTCTGAGATATGGGCTTGTCTGTTAAATTCTTCCTAAGGGTTTGCTGGTTTATGTTGCAGATAAAAAGCAATTGGGTTGCTCTACTACAGGTCTTTTCACAGTCTGGGAAGACACTGAAAGAGGCTTTTTTCTCTCTTCCAGCCCATGCAAACAAGCCAGTTCCAGCCCCAAAGCAGTTACGGGTTCGACCAACTTTTAGCAAGTATTTGGCACTTAATGGAAGAGGACTGGATGTCAAACAAGCTTTCTCACCAGAAGGAGAGTTTCAGCGTTTGGCTGAGCAGTCTGGACTGTATGAAAGTGATGAACTTTAACTGGAAATGAAGAGGAAAACTCACACCCATAAGAGACAATTACAACATAGATGCAGATAACTGGTGATTGCTCTAATTAGCAAAATACCTATCTACATATTTTTACTTTGACTCTTGCACACTCAGCTGTTCCCATTTTACCATGTTAGATTTTATTTATATGGTTTGGTGAATATAACCATTTACTGAGTATTTTATTTTAACTATAAAGCCTAAGAAAGCAGGCTAATTAGTTTTCACAAGTGTGGGTGGTTTTAGTTCCACCTGTGCCTGGTTACATGCTAAAGTAGGTTGGTTTGTACTGCTTCTCTAATATCACTCCTGATAATATCAGAAGTCTGTACTGTCTGAATGCTAAAACCAAATAGACTAGAGTGTTTTTAAGAGAATAAATTAGAGGCAAATAAAATTTTAAATAACCAACATCAGCCCTGACTTCCTTGATCTGTTAAAAGCAGCTTATGGATGTCTCGCATCAGCTGCACCCTGGCAAAGCTGGATTCTTACCCTAATCAGCCTGCTCCTGGTCCCCTTTCCTGACTGCTCCCCCTGACACTTGCCATCTGACAGCTATAAACTATTTAGCATAAACTAGATGCTGCCACTCCCTCACCACTGAAACATGTCAGTGAGGCAACATCAATGTTTTCTCCTTGCACACTTGACCCAAAAGCTGCCCTGCATAATATGAAGCGCTAAAGCTACCATGTTTTCCCTCCTTACTCCTTTAAGCAAGGAGTGGCTGTGACTTATCTGACTGTTGACTCTCGACATGCTGTTTATTTGAATCATCCAAAGGGTTTGCGTGCTGCTATTCACAGCCAACCTGCTCAAAATAGTAAAAAATACTGATTTTGCCAAGCTCCAACAAACTTACTCTCTGAAGATTCTTCAACTGTACTTGCAAAAGGAAACCGTGAGGGTGGAACTAGCCTGAACTCCTCCCAGAGGGTGTACGGTAATGCTGCTGCTAGTCAGGAAACCCCACGAGCATCTTCCAGAACAGAAAAAAATGAGGTCTTGGCTTCACGCCACACTGTTGCATCACTAAATAAAACCCCTCAAATGTGAACTGCACAACACGGACCATTAAAATCCCATCAAAATCCTGCAGCTCTACCACCACGCTTCTCCTGCGGGCTGCCCGAGGCACGACATCCACCAACGTAACTCTTCCTGCTGTGCTCTTTGTGGGTTTGAGCGGTGGAATGGCAACTGATACCCACATCGCCCACGGATTTCTTCTGAAGGAAAAGCCGCCACAACGCTCGGGTGAGGGCGGGCTGTCAGCGCAGAGCAGCAGCACCAGGCCTGGCCCAGGAGCCGCTCAAGTTCTTGTAAGGTCTGGGAGCCCCAGCCACACCCGAGCTCCCGCCGTTTGGTTTAATATACATTTAAATTAATATCTCTTAAGTTCCCGGCTGCTCTTCGTAGCAGGAAGGGAATTGCTTGTCTGAAATTAGCTTGGAAAGAACCAGATGCTGCAATGTATCGTTTAATTCCATCCCCCCCCAGCCACACACACACACACACTCCCCGAAGGAAGGGCTGCCAACACGGGAGCGCGGGCTCTACCAGGCACCGCTGCTGCGGGGCATTGTAGGGGACATGTCAGGGCAGACACGCTGAACGCCACTGACAAAATTCAAAATAACAGCAAGGTGCGAGGGCGGGAAGGGCAGCTCCCCGCCGGTAGCCAAGGGCAGGCCGCGGCCCCTGCGCGCTGCGGCCCCGCTCGCCAGCCCGAGCCCTGCCGCAGGCGGTGCGGGGAACCGGCCCCGCCGCCCGTTGGGATTCAAACGGCGGAGCCCCGGCAGCCGCCCCAACCCCGGGCACCATGGAGCCGGCGGCAGCGCGGCAGCGGCCCGCGGTGGACCCCAGGCTGAGCGGCAGCGGTGCGTGAGGCGGCCCCGCTCCCCTCAGGGCCCGGCCCCCCCCTCAGCCGCCCCGCGGGCCCTGTCCTCTGACTCCCCCGGCCCCTCGCCATTTCCCCAACCAGGTGCCGTAAAACCGCGGGTCAGTTGCAGCCGGGAACTGGAACTCAAAACTACCCTGCGGGAGCTGGTCATCTACATTGTCTTCCTGACGGACCTCTGTATAGGTAAGTCATCAAACGACAGGGGTGGCTGTTTGCAAATAATTAATGTGTAACTGAACCTCTTTCAGTATTTACGCCTCGCTCTGCCTGTTCCACCCAAACGTGCCACTTCACTCGGAATCGCTCTGACTGTCTTTTTCTAGCAGCATGACTTAATAACAACCGAAGCGGAGAAACGAGGTTAGAAGCCGTTGACATCCTCCAATTTCAGCCTGTGAGCATCCCCTCTTTGCCCCTTCCTTCCAGTGACGTTTGGTATGGTGAACATGGAAATGTACTACCTGAACAGAGTCATGTCCTATGTCTTCCTGGAGAACGACTCTGAGGACGGTAGTGGTGGTTTCAGCACTATTGGGAACAAAGATGATTTCTGGAGGGTAAGACATTAATTGCAAATATGTTTTCTGAGAGAGCAAACAAGTGAAGAAGCTTCTAGTGTTAATTCAGAGCAATACAGTCTCACAGTTCTCCTAAAAACCATGTGACAGATGTGCTTTCAGCTGAAGAAAGGCAAATAACTTCTTAAAATGCATTTGGAGAAATTCTGGGTACAAACAATGATACTGATACTTCTGAATAATCAGTCGAGGGAAACAATAGACCAATTAATTGCTGCATCATATTCTCAGTACTAGGCTTGGTCTGAAAGGAGATTCAATAAAACCAGAAAAATTTGAGGTTTACAGTTCTTTTGTCTTTCAGCTGTTAAAAAAAAATATATGATTTCCACTGGGGCAGCCAGGAAAACATACCATCTTGGTTCACCTGGTGTGCTGTTCGATTATATCATATTTCAGTGACAATTGCAAAACACCTCTGTTTTCACTACTAGGTGGAAGACTTCCCAAAATTACCAGCATTGCCCAGCTGACAGCAGAAGGCAAAGTTTCTCATCCTACTCTTCCTTAAAAATGGAAGTGCCTGGTTATAGCCATTCATTTGGAAGAATTGTACTCCCTCTTATCATGGTGTCTGTTATTGCAAGTCCATAAAATAGTGAGCCCTTGCTATACAATGCATGTTCTGTTGTACTAGAAATTGTTGTAATGCAGCTCATATGGTCTCAGACCATGGGGGCATGTTGTTTTGTACTCAGAATAATGTTCTTCCCAAGTTTAATGCTCTTTACCTGCATCTAAGAATCACCCAGAAAAACAGATTTTTTTCCCCTGCCTTCAAAAAGATAAACTTCTTAATTTAGATTAGATGACTAAAAACCTAGTCAGAAATACATCCCAAAGCAGATCTTCAGAGATTAAGATAACCAACACATTTTGTTAAAACAGCATATAATGTTTGTGTTTAAATATATTTGTTTAGAATTAAGCAGAATTTTTCAGTGAAACCCAAACAGACATATGTTGCAGTCTTACCCTGAATAATCCCATTACATATCTCTGATAGAATTGCATAGGGAATAGAATTGTCTAATAGCAAAAAGATGTAAATATATCGTACTTATAAGACAGTATATAGGTGGCAATTATTTGTATTCTAGCTTAGACTCTGTAGCTATAAGAAACCTGAGAACCCTGTAGAGATTTGTATGCTAAGTGGGGTAATCATGGTATTTAAATCTTTTGAAACTTGTACATACAGTATGCAGAGGGACCCTTGTTGGATGGACTCTACTGGGACAAATGGTATGACAACACGACGTTAACCATCCAGAACAACAGGAGCTATATTTACTATGAGAATTTGCTGCTAGGAGTACCCCAGATTCGGCAGCTGAAAGTACGCAGCAACACTTGCTCCATCTACCCATATTTCCGTACTTTTTTAGAAGACTGTTACAGTGACTATAATTACCGAGCTGAAGACAGGTCTGATTTTGGTCTAGGGAACGAATCTGAGTAAGTCATCCTACTTCAGCTCAGAAATGTTTTTGAAAACCTAACCAAATCCTTAATGCCAGTATTCTTCAGTTAGTAACAACCATGCATGCAATTAGATGAGTTTTTCTCTTGTTTACATTGAGATAAACCATGGAATTGGTTTTGTTCCAACATTATAGATGGGGAATTTGGCATGGAAAAATCTATAGTGGAGAGACAGGAAGAACTGGAAACAGCAAGCCCAGTTCAGCAGAAGCACATGTTAGTGGGCCTATCTGCACTAACATCTCTGGAGAAATGCTCAATTATATGAGGCCTGAATTTAAATGCCATGTTTATAAATTGGAATCATGTTAAAATGCTCTGGAAACAGAGCCAAAAGGTGTGCTTCGCACACTTCATTTAGCATTCATTTAACCCAATGAAAGAACATGTGAACAAGCCACAGTGATAATGAACTATGTAAACCAGATATATTCCATTCACCTATAAAGGTTTTAAGGTAATAAACTGTCTGGCCCACATTGGGTGAAATCCAGATTCATAAGCAATTGCTGGTTTGTGAATGTACTGAGTATTTAGCAAATAAGAGAAATGGGAATATTTTAAGGCCATATGTCTCGTGCATATTTCCTGTAAAGAAAATTGGGTTTTAAAGGTCTGGCTTAAATAGTCAGTTGTGGATACAGAAGAACACAAAAACAAGCATTGTATAAAATAAAAGTTAAAGCTTACTTCAGTCCAGTTTCCATAAGCTGAGCGGCTTTATTTTCCCATTTCTGATAGGTGGAAATACACCTCGGCCCGCTCGTTATCCCCATGGTACTGGGGATCTATGGCCTTGTATGGCAGTGGAGGATATATATTCACCTTACCTAAATCAAAGAAGGAGAGCATGGAGAAGTTGCAGTTTCTCAGGCAGAACGGCTGGCTCACTAGAGGAACCAGGGTTATATTTATCGACTTCTCAACATATAATGCTAACTTAAACCTCTTCTGTGTAATCAAGTGAGTTCTTACCTTTACTACATGTGAAATCCTCTTTAGTGAGGCATGATGCTTCCCTAAGGACACAAGGAAAGGCTGGTCACTTCAGACATATGTAGCTATGTTTCTCAGGTAGCAGCTGGCAAGACATTAATTAAAAATGCAGAAATTCAGTTAATGCAGGGAACAGATGCAGATATTTCCTTTTTTTTTTTTTAATAGTTGATGTCTGGTCTGTACAGCTAGTTGCTGCTGTCTGTTGGAATGGATTTCATAGCCTTTTGCAAGGTCAAAGACTGGATTATTAGTCCTCTTGTCAGCTAGTGGAAGGAAAAGACTCAGGGCAGGGTGAACATTTGCACTTCTGAGACACAGTTTCTTTAAGGACTTTTAACCAAACACCATAGCTTGGGTACTCCAAGAGCTTCTTTTTTTTTTTTTCCCTCAACTTTTCCTACCATGTAATACTTTCTTCATGGGGGACCTAGTGTAGCCCTTAAAAGAAGATCTTACAGATGTAGGAGTTCCAGTGATGTAGAAAATTAAGGGCTGAGATGATTTAAAGGGATGGTAACTAACACCAGTCTCCCAATTTTTTTCAGGTTGGTGGTGGAGTTCCCTGCTACTGGGGGTGCTCTCACCTCTTCACATATCTACTCTGTGAAGCTCCTCAGATACGTCACGTATTATGATTACTTCCTGGCTTCTTGCGAAATCATCTTTTGCCTCTTTATTGTTGCATTCATAATCCAGGAAACTCTAAAAATTGTAAAACTGAAAAAGGACTATTTCAGAAGTGCCTGGAACTGGCTGGAATTGTTGCTGCTGGGGGTGAGCTACCTCTTGACTTTCACTTCTGTGCTTGCCAGACTAGGCTAGCACAGGATAGACAGCCAGCCAGCCCCAACAGCCCAAATCTGTGTCTCGTTAGTCAGTCACCCACTGTTCATGCTGAAGAGGCCACATGGCCCACCAGGGTCCAGCACACTCCAACTCTTCTAGCCTTGCTGTCAATTTGTTGCAGTTCCATGTCCTTTCTATTCATTATCCACCTTGTTTGGTTTAGCCTTAGTCTTTGCAGAGCAGGGAAGCACTAGTGCATAACAGAGGTAACACAGTAAAATTAGAATGTATGCAGCATATTACATAGCACAAGCCCAGAATTATTACAGTACAATTACAAATTATTTGGCTAATAAAGTCTCATATATAGAGTTTATGACAAAACATCCAAAAATCTCAGGTTCTTCAAATCTAACCGAGGGCCTTCTGAAATCAGCACAGTCTTACCAGTGCAAAGTGACAAGTGTGAAGAAAGGGGCTGTAACCGGGCTTCAGTTTCACTTGCTTCTGCTTTCCTTCAGGCATCCATCCTTGCTATCACCTTCAACATCTACCGCACTGTAGAAGTGTCCCTGCTAATGGAAGAGCTGCTCTCTGATGCTCATGTATATCCAGACTTCTATTTCCTTGCATTCTGGCAAGTCCGTTACAACAACATGGTTGCTATCAACATCTTCTTTGCTTGGATCAAGGTACTGGTGTTTTGTTTTTTTTTTTTCCCTTTTTTTTTTTTTTTTTTTTTTTTACTCAAGAATCAGTGTTTCTAAGCATAGCATAAATGTTCACTTTTACCTTTTCATGGGTGTATTGCAAAGGTGGGGCTAAAAGGGAGAATTTTGTTTATAAGATTCCAGAAGAGTTTAAAATTACATCCTTCTCATAAACATGGGTCACACAAATTCCAAGCCCATCTGAAAAAAAATACTGCACATGGGCAGCTGTCTACATTAGAGCAGCTGGGAAATTACATGGCCAAACAACCTCCTCAAACTCAGTCTTTTCCTAGACCCAATATTGTCCAGGTCACAGCCTGACCTATACAGATGGCACGGCTGTAATAGGTGAAGCTATTCATAGCTTTTGTAGCCAAAATCTTTGAAAACAGTAGCTAATTTTTAACTGCAGAGGAAGGCAAAACATGTCTGAACTTGATTCAGAAGTGGGTTTGTGCCAGGACACCTTTAATTTCACTTTTAATTGCAGATACGTTTGCTGATCTCTGGACAGAGTAGCAAACTTCTCTAAGATTGGTGGCTACTTTTGTTCCTAACCATGTCCTCTGGGGCCAAACCAGTCCTGCATGTTTGTGTGCCACTGCCCCTAATCCACCAGACCCTGCTTGCCCGGGATGGGGTTTGCACCCAGCAGACAGCAGTGACTTTGCTCTGGGTGGCCTCTGTGTTCCCAGTGACTGGATGAAATTTCCCAAAGCTTTGCCTGATCCTGGACCGCTTTCAGGCCCCTTCTCCCCCGAGATATTTGTAAAACACCCAGCACAAAGCAGCTGTGAAACAGGCCAGGGGGGCTGCTCCCATCTGCCAGAAGAGATCACACTTTGCAGTCATACTCCCCATACCTGAATATAAACTATCATGAAAGGTCATGTCCTTTTAAAACGAACAGGCTTTTGGTCTTCCTCCACCTCCCAAGGCCGAGGCTGCAGGAAGAAGCTGTTTGGGAACACGGGCGTCCACCAGTTCTATGGATGGTCTTCCTCATTACATCCATTCTGTACCCCAGCTGCACATTCCTTCTGCATCATCCTCCCCTCAGACTGATTACTGCTAATTTAGTAGCATAGCTATGTTTATAATTAATGACTGTCATTGAACAAGGCTTTTGTTCAGGCCTTGTTTCGGACCCAAAGTAAAAGATAGCTCCTTACCAACTCAGTCCATCAGGGATTCCTCAGATACAGGAGAGTGGGATGGCTTGCCATCTTGACCAGGTCCCACATCTGCTAGAGCTGATTACACATACCAGTACCCAGCAACAACCTGTCTACACACTATTAGCTTTAGCACGTAAGCATATTTGTCCTGCAGAACTTTCATCTTCTCCAGAAACACACCCAATCCCAGTTCTTACAGATACATACCATGGAACTTAGTTCTAGGTAAGGCTGAACCTGTAAATTATGATTACATATAATATTCCTGAAATTCTGTTAAGAAGTTTTAATATCCCCTGATAACAATATGTTCTGTTCTGTTGCAGATATTTAAATATGTAAGCTTTAACAAAACTATGACGCAGCTGTCCTCCACTTTATCTCGCTGTGCCAAAGACGTCATTGGATTTGCCATCATGTTCTTCATCATTTTCTTTGCCTATGCCCAGTTAGGCTATCTGGTCTTTGGGTCGCAAGTTGAAGAGTTTTCCAATTTCCAAAACTGCATGTATGCTACTTTCTAAACTTTTTGATACAAACCCCCCAGTTGGTGCAGGTTCAAACCAGTTTCTGCTAAGCAGAACTTAAGAGTACAGCTCTCCAACACTTAAGCTTATTTCATAGAGTAAAACCAATTTTGTTGGCTCTACAATCAATTTCCCAAAGCCTCCATATGTTCAAAAGGGACCAAATGTACATTAAAACAGGTCAGGGAAGCATAAGAAGGGGAAGCTCAGCAGTAGTTCATGTGATGGAGCTGTTAGTCCCCACAGCAATCAACACAAGCGTGCCATGTGTAACCAGGCCCCTGGGCAGTCGGGCAGGCCTGGCCTCTTTCAAAAGCCAGACTGTGAAACTACCCAGCAGACATGCCACTGGGTAGGTGATGGAGTCCCCAGCGTGAAAACCACGGAACTGCTTGAGAGACCCAAGAGGCTCAGAGCACAACTGAGCACGTTTGCAAACAGGAATTACTGCTCTTAGAAAAAAAACATCCAGCTGCCTAGCCAGGAGTCCCCAGATCTCATCTGCTGGCTCTCTTACTTTCTTCCCCAGACTTTTTTCAGCCCCCCACAGTTGCAACATCATCAGATCAGTTCCAGGTGCCAGCTCCTCACGCCTTGCAGCAACCGTAACCTGTCACCCACTGTGTGTGTTGTGTTTTATCCCATGGCTATGTTTCTTACAACTTTAGAGAGGTATCTTTAGCATACCAGATTGTTTGAAAGCAGCTTTTCATCTAAAATTAAGGCACCTCTAAACCAGAAAAATAGCTCAGTTTGGATCCACGTGGATATGACTTAGTTCTAAGATGCTGCAATATAGAGAAATAAGTATTTATTTGCCTTGGCTAGGAATAAAATTCTGTATTGGGGGACAGATACCTATACTGTTACCTTCTGTACTAACAGAAGAAAAGGCATCATGAAGCTAGAACAGAAGGGAAATAATTTAAAAATACAAACAAAAAAAACACAGGTGATTTATTCAAAGTGCCAAAGTGGAAGTATTTTCTCATACAAGCCATTTAAAAATTCCTTCTTACTTTCAAATTCTCAAATATATGCTAAATGCCCAATTTACCATTGCTGTATTATCCTGGCTTGCCTTTTGATTTCAGTGATTTAAGGTAATGATGAATCACTCTCAATTGTATCTATTGCCTTTTTTTTTTTTTAATAATGTTTACAATACTTCTCTTTAGGAGAAGCCAGTCAACCTCATTCTGCTATTTTTAACTTCCAGCTTTACACAGTTTCGTATTGTGCTGGGAGATTTTAATTTTGAGACCATAGAAGATGCAAACAGAATCCTTGGACCTATTTACTTCATCACATTTGTATTTTTTGTGTTCCTCGTATTGCTGGTAGGTATCATTGTAAAAATGCTTATCATTTTGCATAGGCAGTAGAGAAGAACTGTTGTACTTTTTCACCCTAAGCTGACCCTGGGCTGGCCCTCGATACACCTGACCTGCACAGAGAGACAGTCTGAACTCCTTCGCAGGAGTTCCAAGCCAGCAAGACATTTCACAGCTCTCCCTTCTTCCACACAGCCCCAAAAGGGGCTTTTGGACCACAAAACAAGCATGCTGCACCTTCCACTCTACTGAACCACCCATTTGTTGAGATTTTAATTTCTGAAAACTTAATTGGCTGCTCTTGAAAACTGTGTAATGTCAGCCTTGTCAGGAAGGTTAAAGAGAGACTTCAACGGAACTGCATATGTGCAGGTTTGCTTTATCAGATCGGTGGTTTCATAAATTACTTCAGATTGAAACACCATCTGGAAAAGCTACAAGTATACAACAGGAAATCCGTTACCTCCAAGGAACGGGGCCTTTTAGCTGATACTGCAGATGGGAAGTAAATTATTTGTCTTCCCAAAATATTCCCTAAAACTCTAAGATGATCAGATAATTTAACTGCATTAGGAGCATATATGTACCCAGAAAAGTTCTTCAGTTCCATTAGTTACGTGCCTTAGCATGCAACAGCCCCAGCATAATACAAATGCAGTTTCCAGAAACAACTAACAATGTCATTCCTGTGCAGAATGTGTTTTTGGCTATCATAAACGACACCTATTCAGAAGTCAAAGCAGCCTTTGAAGTGATACCCAGTCAGGAACTTCATATTGGAGACTTCTTCAGACAGGTAAGTAACCAATTCCGTAACAACCTCATTTCTTTCAAAATAAGAAGAGGAGTTCCAAGCTACATTGCTAGCAGGGAGCCTTAAACAGCTGGGCCACAACCATTTAAGAACACCCAATATTTGTTTTTCTACTTCAAATAAACATTTGACAGATACAGAAACATCCTTCCACGACACAAAGCCACAGAAGCTCCTCGTGGTAAGAGTAGCATATGAGTTAGGGTGCAAGGGGCCTACCTTTACTTCACCCTTTTAAAAGCAATACTTAAGGCCAGTCTGGTTTGTGATGCACCCCATCATCCGCTTTCTTAAAGTGCTTACAGTTGCTGTTCTTCCAAACTGAGAAACTAAAGATCATCTCTGCATGAGAAGACAGGTAGACACTCCACAAATTTCATACCATTTTTACATGCCAGAAAGGAGTACAAAAGAGGAACAAAGCCTTCCTTTACAGTTCAGCTTAAAAGTATGACCTCCTTTCCTGCCAAATGCATGCACTGAAGCCAAAGAGATTGTATACAGTTCTGTTGCTGGGACAAGTCAGTACCTCCACCTAGAAACCTAACTGTAACTGGAGAATAATACAGCATCACAAGGGAGATAGAGAAGATTGAGAGAGGTGGGGGATGAGAGACCTGTGCATTCAGACTGTGGTTCTCCCAGTTGGCCTACACTGACCACGCTGCAGAGGGCTGGCAGCCATACCTGCCTGAAATTGTCCTGTGGGATTTTATGAGTGGCATAGAGACAAGTTACACTGCTCTGCAAAGCCTGGCTTTCGTTAAGGAGAAGGAAGGGGGAGTCCCTGGGCAGGATACAGCTGTCTGGGTCAGCAGCAGCACAGCTTAGATCCCCCCCACCCAAGCTCATTCTCTTACTCAGGACTACAGTAAGATTAAACTGAATACATCTGAAAACAGAAACTCTTACTGGAGTTGGCTGGCTATTACCTTCAGGGATTTAATAACAAATAGAGTAGTGTAAGTTCTCTGAGAACTGGTGGGATTTCTGTTTCATTGCCAAGGCATTATACGGGTGGTTTGTTCCTTACGGTCGAGTCCTTGTGCAAAAGCGTCTCTGGTTAAACACAAGCCCTTTAACATGCCCAACTTCCCCTTTCTGCATTCAGGGTTGCAATAAGGCCCTTATCATGCTTAAGTTGAAGAAACCAGAGACGGGTACAAAACCAGCAGACGAGAGCTTGGAAAGGTAGGATCTCGGCACGTGCTGTTACCCCCTGCACCGAGCACAGACCTATTCTCACAGGACTTCTGTCTCTTCTCATTTGTGTGAATGACAAGCAAGCGATTTTCAGTCACTGAAAGAAAGGATAGTTCTAAGCTTTCCATTGGAGACAGCGTTAGTGAAAAGGTAAGCTTTATTCCTTCCTATATTCTTAGAAACTGCTGATTATATTTCACAAGTTGAATAATACAGAAGGAGGTAGAGTTGTCCCCACTGTTACTTACAAAAGCTATTTCTCCACAGGATACTATTTTTAACATCATAGGAATAGCAAAAGCTAGACCTATAAATGAAGAAAAAAAATCACTAATTATGCCCAAAACATCAAATGAAAGCTTGTTCAGGCAAGCTTATGCACTACAATAGCAGAGCTGGCAGCAGGGTGAGGTCAGTGTATCTTAGCAATGCTATAAACTTGTGAGCTGGGCATTTGCCCAAATGTTAAACGGAAACAGATGTATGGAAAACAAGTTTTACAGCAATCTATTGGGTCATAGGCTGCATCTACAGCAAGAAGATAGATTACTATAGCTTCCTTTTGCATTACAAAAAGGTTTCCAGCAGTTGTTGGTAGTTCTGTATCCAGGCTAAGCCTGTGCAAGTACTTCTAAACCATATATAAAAAAAAAAAAAAAAAAATTACTTCAAGGAGGGAAAAGCCCCTTGGCTAGCTGTAAATACAACTAGCCACAATATTTCAAATCTCAACTCTGAAAAATATGTATTCCTATATCCTTTTTGGAAGGGCCAGAAGGAAAATCCACTTTCAGATGGGGAACATTTTTCTCCTCAAAGCCGCATGTCTTTTCCTGCATGCATGTCCCCTCCCTGCATGAGAGATGGTGTTATAGTGCCATGCTGGCTTTGTTATTTTTTTTTTTTTTTTGATATCTCTGGTGTTGAATAGAACATTCTGACATTATCAAGGCTACAGCGAGGGAAAGAAAAACTTCGTGACAAGTCTCCATCTACTGAGGACGGGAACTCAGTCACAGCTGAGAGCTACGTCTCCAGTGCAGAATTTCAGGAGTAAGTGTGTACAAGTCTGTTCTTGCAGTCTTATTCACATTCCCAGGCAGCTGCAGCCCTGACTGAAACCCTCACCCAGTGACAACCTGAGACACAGAACAGCAATACAAAAGTCAGTGATTTTAAGATATTTTAAGTGCTCTTACACCGGCTCACAACAGCTGCCCTCAGGGAGGGAAGAAGAAAACAAAAGAATTTAGTAGAGCAACTTGTAAGGACATTAGTCAAGAACAGGTGGGACAAGAATTTAAAATACCGTCACTCTTCCAAAAAAACTCCTTGGGGCTGCCCGGGGAGGGGGACCCAGGCTGTAGGACCTTCTGCCTGTGAAGTGGTATTTCAGGACTCGGACCCTTGGCAGCTGACACAAGTGAACAAAGAGAAGGATTGCAAATGCAAGTTTAAGGTCAGCACCATCTCATAGATATCTGGCTGTATTTGTGTGTTCTAGGCTCTTCAAGTATGCTGCTGAGTTGGGGAGGGAATTAAACAACACTAATGTGCAACTCAGGAGAGTTATGAGAAGCGTGCAAAAACTGAAGGCTTCTTCCAGCAAAACAGAACAGTAAAATGCATGAGCTTGTCTGGTAACAGAGATGACCTGACTCTTCACACAGTTTAAATAAATCCAAAGTCCCTGTCCCCCCGCTCTCCCCCTTTATTATTTTCTACTTCTGGATAAGAAAAACAGGAATGTTAATAAAGGGCTATACCACTGTTGCTTCTGGGTTTTTTCTCTGAGAGTTTCAGGTGCTGTTTTAACTCTGAGAACTGACCAACCTTGCTAGAGTTTGGGGTAGGCATCTCTACAAATGCCTGAACAACATCTATTCCTCTGCCTTGTTTTGGGGCTGCTGTGAGACTCAGCTGTGTAACCGGGAGAGCAGATCGTGAGCAGTGGCAGCATCCTGGGGCCGCTCTGCACCCTCCTCTCCACAGCCCAGCGCACGGGCACTCGCTTCCCCGGACTGCTTTCTAGTGCTAGTGCATCTGCTGATGAGGTTAATGCTTATTCCTCAACAATTCTTGTTCTAGGCGCCCGTTGCTTCCGAAACAGGTTACTATTGCCTTCCGAGAAAAGAAAAAAGAAAAATTCTTTCAGCTTTTCTTTTGCTGAGGCCTGGAGAGATGGCACCACCAGGGGGCGCTGTGCTCCCCCGACACCAGACTGACTTTTCCAAACACCCTTTTTATTCCCAAATCCATCTGTACCTTTTCCCTTAGAGACAAGGTGTTATGACCAGGCCAGAAGCTGTCTACTCCTATGTAGTCATTAATATTTGTTCATTGCTAGGACTCAGCCGCAGGAAGAAATAAAACACGTGTCTGAGTGCGATCTGAACCCGGGGCCTGCGGCGGCCCACGCCATCCCTGCCTGGGCAAGGGCTGCTGCCATGCACTGCAGCTCACACATGGCACACAACTCCCAGCCTCCAAAGTATCCGGAATCTTACAGAAATCCTACAAGGATTTCTAACAGGATAAAGCCTTACGCTGCTGGCAGAGCACTACGACAGTCTCTGGTCTCTCTGCATCTAACCACAGGGTGGAAGAGCTGTGTCATGGGGAATGGAGCAGACGGGTGTTTGAAGGGACCCAGAAGGGGATCACTTCGGCCCAGTCACACAACGTAGCCATGCGCTGATCTGCCTGTCAGGGTTCACTCAATTTGTACAACTTTCTGGCCAAAGACATCCTCTCTCTTCTAAAAGGGACCAGTTTAAAATAAAACACCACTCCCCTTTCCTTCCCAAGGGTTCTTGTTGCTATGCAGGATCCCAGGACACTTGTCTCAGCAAACACAAGTCACTGGTGATCTGTTTATCCTGATTACTTAACAGCATGACAGGCAGGAAAGCAGATGTACTGCACCTTTGGCATCTCCAGCCTTTCCTCCTCTTGGCAACCCCTCTCGTACAAAGTCTCAAAACCTTTAGACACAGTTACCCAGAACATGGAAGAGCTTGCAAGCACTTCTCAACCTTGCTCTACTCCTCAGTGGCACAGGAAGCCCTGCCTCACTTTTCCCAGCAAGCTCCCTGCCCGGCAGTAACATAAGGGCTCAAGAAAACCTGTTTAAAGAGGTAAAGCTTGGAATACTACAGATTCACGGTCTCAGAACAGGTTCTTCAGGAAGGAAGATCTGTCCCAGAATCACTGAGCTTTTTTGTACCCTCAAAAATATGTTTCTCCTCTGTTTTGATAGTGGTGTTCAACACAGGGTTATTTTCCTTCATGAAAAACTTAGTTCTTTGGATGTGGATTTGAAGCAGTTTCCACTAAACCACTATCAGGGATTTCTTTTCTCATTAGCACCCTGATCGGAGCAAGCTTCATTGAATAAATACTGTTAAGGAAAAATGGAGGATTGTAGAACAGATCTGTAGCACCCTTGTTCATTCTTCAGGCCAACATCCTAAGAAATTATTTTTTCTTGTCCCCATATCTTCAAAGGAAAGCCATGTGATCAGAGGGCAGGTTATTCTGTCCCACCCTGAAGAACATGCTGAAGGCTGCTTTCTGCCTCCTCTCTCACTTGTTTCCTCAGCTGCCTACTTGTTTTTCATGTTCCCATTTACCTGCACTGCCACACACCCACAAGCAGTCTTCACCTTCAAGAGTTCTTCTGTCCCCCGTCAGGCCTCAGGCTGAAGAAAGGGGGATTTACACAAAATACAACAGAAGAGTCAGTTTGAAAGACCTCAATCACTTTTCATGTGAACTTACATCAGTACACTATGAAAAAGATCTATTTGCTCCCAAAGAAAAGCATCAAAAGTGCGTGCAATAGCAGTGTTTTCTGGCCATTTTGAGGCTGATTTTAGGCTAATTTTAAGGCTGAGAGATCATTATGGATATAGAGACACAGTCAAATACTGCTCATCAGCTGAAGGTGTATTCATCAGCAGTGAGTTAATTTGCCCAGTGGTGGCTGAACGGCCTCTCTCTGCCCCATCAACTCCCAAAGTTGGTACCGTTGGAGCAAGAATGAACGAGACTCCCAGTTTGCTCCGCGGCATCACGCAGCAGGCTGGCAGCCTAGCAGGAACCACAGCCCACATCGCACCGTAAGCCAGACTGTCAGTTCAGGAGCCTGTCTGGTCACTTCCCTGCTGAGAGGCCCAGTCTAAACAGGTAAAATAAGTCTTAAACTGCTTTAGCTTCCCCAAAGGCTGTTGCAGCACCTGAGCCGCCACCAGCGCGCACGGCTCTGTTGGCAGGCTGTGGGCTTTGGACCTGCTGCAGCAACACCCCAAAACTACACGTACCTACAGGAACAGCGACGGACTCGGCCCTTGTTTTTAAGAGTTGGCAGTGGAGGAGAAAGCATGATGAGAAACAAAGATATATGACAATAAAGGTTAAGGTACTTTTATTATAAAAGTCTATACAATGAGTACCAGACATAGCAATGCAATTATATCTGGTTTAGTTATATATATTCCATATCTATATATCCATATAGATATATAGGTTTTGCTTTTTACCAAAGTAAAACTGTTATATCACAAAATGCCTAGTTCTACCATTTATTTATTGCTCAACAAGGATGGCACAAAACACACTCAGCATAACTGTTGCCATGCTTATCTACTATACTGAATAAACAGCCAAACACTGCATAACAAACACAAAGCAGCTGTTAATTCTGAATTGGAACCAGTCTGATCACTCACTCACTTATAAAAATATTGGAATCATATAGATTTAAGCATTATAAAGGAGGAATATATTATTTAAAACATTTAAATAGTGCATATTGACATTTTGCATGTGGTATATAAAACACAAACATTCATGTACAACACTATACAGTACACATTAGTTTCAATGTTTGGATACACCCGTGTCTGCAAACTGATAGAAAAGTAACTGAAGTGTACATTGCACAATGGAACTGAATAAAATTTATAAATGGTCTCAAGACTAGTTTAACCTCATAATTCTCTAAGGTCCCAGATCATTTTGCAGTTTAAAAAAAAAAAAAAAAGGCATACCAGTGCTCAATAGTTTTAGTGCTTTTTTTTCTGAATTCCAAAATTACATGCCTACAAGCAGAGTAAAACAAAACAAGAAGTATTCTACAGTACACAGATGAAATCTGAGCACTAAAAATCTTACTTTCAACCTATTTCATATGCTTCATGACAGAACAGCAAGTCTATGAGGTTACACGCTAGCCATTTCTTATGTTGTGAGAAAGTTCATTTTTGGTCTTTCATAAAGCAGTGTGAATAATAGCTATGTTGACATTAGCCAGTCATAAAAACATGCAGTGAGAGTAGGTGCATGCAAAACATGGCCACAATCAAACCGATACATTGAAGAAAAAAAAAAAAAAAACTGAGAAAGCACCAGTTAAAATTAACACTTAGATTTTGCCAGATCAAAACCAGCTGCTGATGGCTGTTGCAGAGCATAAAGCTAGTAGCTAAATCATCATTCAGCACAGCAGATGTGATACTCAAAACATTATTTAGTTTCGACTCTGAAGCTAAATCATGCAAGGCCCATAAACTGTTTTGCTTACATCATAAAGGTTAGATAACTTATTTTTATTCTCCAACTGTAAAACAAAATCGTGATAAACAGCAGTAATTTTTTTCACTCAAAACCAACAGTTCACACTGTGGTGCGCATTAACTACACTGATTTTAGCCCTTGACATCATACTTATTTCAGGTACAGTGGAATTTTAACTGTCCTAAGCCAGCTCTTTTCTGCTGGAGCTATGCAAGTCTGAGCACCATCAGATTTCCCATACACTGAAATGTTCATTATGTTCCTCAAATCTTCCGAAAGTAGAGATGCAGTATCCAGTTCAGACAAAGCACTATGTCACCACTAGTTGATAAACAATAACCGATAAAATTATAAAATGAACAACAGTAACATAAATCCTGTAGGCAGCATGTGATATAACTTTTCAGTTTTCCAAGTTTTAAAAGACACTAAGCAAGGTCACTTTCTGGTTTGTCCACTGTCATCCTTATCAAGGAGGAAAGGTGACCACTAATGAGCAAAATCCATAGATGTTAATTATTACTGTGTCATAGGTGCAATTTAGAATACCAAAAATTAAAGTTGTTCCATAGCAGTCCTTTGAAAGGATTTTCAGTCTGGTTTTTTAAATGTTCCAGGAAAAAGAGCTGTACGTTTAATTTGCTGACTTTTTTCCCCCCCCATAATAAAAAATAGGCAAGAGTAGTAGTTCAGTGTAGCATTATGGTATTATTAATTTCTTCAATAACGCAAAAAGTTGGTAATAACAAAAGTCTCAAAGTTCTTGAATGCTAAAGGAAAAAAAAAGCTATGGTTGTTTTGGAACAAGATGGATGCATCTGTAATAGAAAACTTTGATAGAAACTGTGTTTGCTAAAGTTGGATAGAGCAGTCTCGAACTTAGAAATCTTACTTGCTCTCTAGACAGGACCTACTTACCCCTCAAACATGTTATAGTGGCACCACAATAAAGTGCACAAACTGGATTCTTTCAACAGTGCATGACAAATGAACACAAGCACTCAATAAGTACAGTGGTAGCATACGGAAACATCATGTTTTTCAGTGGGTTGGAGGAATATAATTTAGATTGATT